TTGAAAAAAATAATTAGGTTATTCTTGGTGAGAATTTGACTTCGAATTGTCTGGAGGTGATCTATGAAATTAAAGAAGAGACACCTGTTTTCTACAAGCTCATTCCTGATCCTGTGAAGAATATCTACATTTATCTAACAGCTGGGAAAGAGGTAGGTAGAAATACTAGTTATGGCTTCTGACTTATGAATAAAAATGGTTTAATTGATGTCATTATCTAGTATCAAAGCTTTTACTTTAAACTAAAGAGTTTAAGCAGTGCTCCAGGTCTTGAAGAGACCCACTGTGGTTCACAGGCATGGAATTAAAAATCTTACTGACTGTCGGTAAGTAAGCAAGAAATATTACCTATTTAGACAATTTTATTATTGGCTATATTTCCAGTGCCAAATTTTTCAGAGGAAGGCATGCTTGCAAATGGGCACATAATCAGCAAGGTAACTGAATTTACACATTTATTGTGTGGGCACCGAATGATTAGATGCATTTATGCATATACCCAATGGGACTGGCTTTGGAATTTGGGGTTAATATCAGGCCACAGTCTCATACACATTAATGAACCAGGAAATATATGGTGCTCACCCTCCCTGTCTTCATTTATCTGGCTGGTTTGGCTTTTCTTTTGCTTCTGCTTACTGAAATAAAAGTAATATATTTTTACATTTTCTTCATCTTTACCAAGTGCTTTCACCAAGGGAAGGGAAAAAGAAACTAATTGTTAGTGAGTCTCTCCTATGTATTAGTCACTGTTCTTTGCATGATCAATATCTAGATGAATTGTGTACATACACATACACGCAAGTATAGAAAACAATGTTAATGAAATGTGTTACTGACAGGGCATAGTGGCTCATGCCTGTCATCCCAGCACTTTTGGAGGCTGAGGTAGGAGGATCACTTGAGGCCAGGAGTTTAAGGCTGGAGCGAGCCATGATAGAACCACTGTACCTCAGTCTGGGTGACAAAGCAAGAGCCCATCTCAAAAAAAAAAAAAAGAAAAAAAAGAAAAAGAAAACAAAGGCCAAGTATAGTAGCTCACACCTGTAATCCTAGCACATTGGGGAGGTTAAGGCGGGTAGATCACCTGAGTTCAAGAGTTCAAGACCAGCCTGGGCAACATAAGGAAACCCTGTCTCCACTAATAACATAAACATTTAGCTGGGCATGGTGGCACATGTCTGTAATCCTAGCTACTTAGGAGGCTGAAGAATAAGAATCACTTGAAACTGGGAGGCGGAGGTTGCAGTGAGCTGACATCACACTGCTGCACCCCAGCCTGGGCCACAGAGCGACATTGTCTGAAAAAGGGAAAAAAAGAAAAAGAAATGTGTTATTAATTTAATGAGATAGTTACCTTTGTTTTCTATTAAGAATCTAAAACTTGGAGAGGTTAAATAACTTGTTCAGGAATATCAATATATATGTATATATTTGTAGTTATATGTATACATATGTATATTTGTATAATATATATGTATATATTTGTATATACATATATATTTGTACCTATATTTGTATAATATACATACATATATTTCTATAATATATATGTATAAATATATATGTATATATTTGTAGGTTAGCCTTTGTAGGGCTAGGACAGAAATTCAACCCTGATTCTAAAGCCTGTGATCAATTATATTAAATCCAAAATTTGTGAAAACAGGACATTCTTTGGCTCAGTGGTTTTGACCTATGACCATTTGAACATAGAAAGTACAAAGAAGATAATTGAGACTTCCAAACTTATATAATGGATGCAACAGATACTCTCAGCCCACCCCTGGTTTTCCATCCTTTTCCTGTCAGTCATTCTAAGGAGAATAGAATGACAGTAATCTACATGTGCTTTTTGAGTCACAGATAAGATGTGCAAATAATTTTTAGTTTCTGGTATTCTTACAAAGATGTTACTGCTCTTTGCACATCGAAAATCAGGGATATCAAAATGACCACATTGAGATGGCCACATCTTCCCACAAAGCTTGTATGGTGAAAGCCAGTCTTTCACCATACAGAATCTCCTATGCCGATTTGCTTCACCATTCAAACACTTTGTATTATGATTCTTCAGTGTGGATCCCATCTTTGAAAGACTTTTCTCTACTCAATGAACTGCACATATTAAGTAACAGTTCCCATTCCCAGGGTTTATTTATTTATCAGGGGCATCTCAAAACTGCTGGTCAGAGTACTGACTGTGCTCCAACATGGTGCTGATAAAATTCCAACCCGAAGCAAAGATACTTGACATCTTGCTTCATCCATGCATGTTTTTCCATTCAGTGTTTTGAAATATTGCAAATAGCTCATAAGCCCATTACTTCCTTCATGGATAGTAATGGAACCCCAGAACTCAGGACTCTAGGCTAGGAACCACTATGAAAAGCCACCAGGGCTTGATGGATTCCCACTTTCTATAAAGCAAAAAGTTCTAGTCTCTGGTCATTCAAAGCCTAAAGTCCTGGGGAGAGCTTTTGACTGGGCAACAAATCTGACTAGCTCTGCATTCTTCATTTAGGATTACTGCTAGAGATTCTATTATTTGAACTCTGGCTAAGCAAATATAACTCCTAAAGAGACAAAGCCCAAAAAAAGGCTCTTTTCTAGATTCTTGGGGAGATAGGAAAAGCCAAACTAATAAACTATGGGATACCCATAAAATGGTATGATATGGGGCCGCTAAAAGTAATCATATGGAGATATATGCAATGATGTGGAATAATTACTAAGGTGTGTTATTAAATTAGAAGAACAGGCATAATGTAGTATTTAGTGTTGTTTCTCTCTCTCTCTCTCTCTCTCTCTCTCTCTCTGTCTCTCTCTCTCTCTCTCTTTCTCTCTCTCTTTTTGGAGATGGAGTCTTGCTCTGTCGGCCAGGCTAGAGTGCAGTGGTGCGATCTTGGCTCACTGCAACTTCCACCTCCCAGGTTTAAGTGATTCTCCTGCTTCAGCCTCCTGACTAGCTGGGATTATGCCCAGATAATTTTTGCACTTTTGATAGAGATGGGGTTGGCCAGGCAGGTCTTGAATTCCAGGCCTGAAATGACCTGCCCACCTTGGCCTCCTAAAGTGCTGGGATTACAGGTATGAGCCACCACATCTGGCTAGTGTCCTCTCTCTTATACAGAGTTATATTTGCGTGTTTAAATATACTGAGTAATAGTTCTCAGAGAATGTTCTGGAGACCCATATTCCACAGAATATTCTGAGCAAAAGTGGTCCCATGACCAGCTGTTACTCCTCCTGGAGTACCGCGGGGCTCAGCATATTCAAAGGCTCTTAGAAGCCCTATGCTAAGGAAACCTGTTTTGCTTTTCAGCCTAAGGTTTTACATTTGTTGGATCATGGAACCCTTTTCTTGCATAATAGCAGTAACCGACACTTATGGAACATTTAGTACTTGTCAGGCAATGGTTTGTAATAACCCTATGAAGTCGGAAGAAACATCACCATTTTACAGATGAAGAAACAAGGCTAGAGAGATTGCATGACACTTATTAAATCCTCCACTGTTACAAAGGTGTTTGTGAACTACAAGGAAATACCCACATTCTGGCTAATTCTGGCTTAGGATCACGGACTGCCAGCTGCATCAGTCAGCAGTGTCGGGGACTATGAAATGGAAGGATATGGTTATCCCCCGTGAAGTCAACTTGAAACTGAAGGGTCCACCTCAGGATATTCCCTGTTTTCCTCACAAAATAGAGGAAAATAGAGAGCTCCCTTCTAGAACTCTTTATGTCTCTAACCTGCTAAACAAGTTATTTATAATTTCTAGCATGTACAACTTCCTGGCATAAGGAGTTCTCTTCCTACCTGCTGTGTGGTTTTGCCTGCAGAAAGCTCACAGTGTGAACCTCAGCTACTCCCTGCCTCATAAGATGGATGGTAACATCCAGCTTGGAGGCTCTGACTGGCTGCCTAGATGTCTGGGCCTGCCCAGCTAGGATGGCCTCTTTGTGGGCTGCTGCTTCCTGACAACTGCAAAAGGCAGCTCTAGGGATGGGGAAGTGATGTGGCTACTCCCCCTGTTTCTTTTATTTTTAACTCCACTGGCAGGGTGTAAGCAAGCAAGCTGGGAGCTGAGATGATGGTTCTGCCCCTGGCAGGCATGTTGGAGGGCTTGGATCCTGGTCCTCTGCATTTCCATATTAAGTGCCAACATCCTGCTGACACTCCTGGAGCAGAGCCTTTGCTATTCCCTAATGCTCATTTCCAAAATGCCCTTGGCCATGCGTGGACTGTCTCTGTATGAAAACCAGGCAACCTGATTGCACGATCCCTATGGAAAGCATCATTAGCAGTTTGGAAACCCAACTGCATGTGATTCACCTGAAGGAGCTCTTAAAATACAGATTCCTGGCCGGGCGCGGTGGCTCAAGCCTGCAATCCCAGCACTTTGGGAGGCCGAGGCGGGTGGATCACGAGGTCAAGAGATCGAGACCATCCTGGTCAACATGGTGAAACCCCGTCTCTACTAAAACTACAAAAAATTAGCTGGGCATGGTGGCGCGTGCCTGTAGTCCCAGCTACTCAGGAGGCTGAGGCAGGAGAATTGCCTGAACCCAGGAGGCGGAGGTTGCGGTGAGCCGAGATCGTGCCATTGCACTCCAGCCTGGGTAACAAGAGCGAAACTCCATCTCAAAAAAAAAAAAAAAAAAAAAAAAAATACAGATTCCTGGCTGTGTGTGGTGGCTCATACCTGTAATCCCAGCACTTTGGGAGTCTAAGGTGGGTGGATCTCCTGAGGTCAGGAATTCGAGACCAGCCTGATCAACATGTACAACCCTGTCTCTACTTACTAAAAATACAAAATTAGCCAGGTGTGGTGGTGTATGCTGTAATCCCAGCTACTCAGGAGGCTGAGGCAGGAGAATCACTTGAACCTGGCAGGTGAAGGTTGCTGTGAGACTAGATGGTATCATTGCACTCCAGTCTGGGCAGCAAAAGCAAAACTCTGTCACCAAAAAAAAAAAAAAATACGGATTCCTGGCCGGACACAGTGGTGCATACCAGCAATCTCAGCACTTTTGGGAGGCTGAGGTGGAAGGAGCACTTGAGCCCAGAAGTTTGAAACCAGCCTGAGCAACATAGTGAGACCCTGTGTCTTTAAGAAAAAAATCTTTTAAATAAAAAAATGCACATTTCCAGGCTTCGCCCCCAGACTTAGCAAGAGTCTCTGTGGCAGAGGCCTGGGAATATGCACTGTCAGAAGCTCTCCAGGTGATCCCAATACAACGACTTCATGTCCTAGAACTTGAGACCCACTGCCCCGTGCCAAAATGGAAGTGTTCTGAGTCCAGGTTGATACTTAGGCTCTTTTTGGCCTTTGTCAGATAAGGTGTTGTCTTTTTCCTGCTGTTGCTTTTAACTCCCTCTGAACCACTGTCCTCTTTCATTTTAGGTAAGGAGAATTCGTGTTGCAAACTGCAATGAACATAAATCCTGTTCGGACTGTTTAACAGCCACAGACCCTCACTGCGGTTGGTGCCATTTGCTACAAAGGTATCTTCTGAATTCTTTCTCACCAACTCGCATTTTTGAAAGCCTCATGCAGCAGAACACTTGTTGCCCTACTTTAACAATCCGTTCCAGTGACCTGACGGAACTGATGTCTTCCTTGACTAAAATCTCCTTGTGCAATCCTAACGAATTCCCGAAGATGTTTCCATCCACGGCAGTGCTATTCAATCGCTGGACCCGGGGGCTCCCCAGTCTGCGGGCAGGAGGGGCAGGTGTGCCGCCTTCGGGAGCAGGGGCGAGAGCAGGCAGGCTTGGCTTTTACTTTCTCCAGAGCTCGCCAAGACTCGAGAGAGAGGCAAAAGATCACCCCTCCGAGAAGATAAAAGAATAGAAGTGTTTGAAAAATTTTCAGATGAATCCCCATCATGTCATGTATTCTGTTCGCTAGGTTGAAGCCTCATTATTGATGGCGCTGTCTCCTCATGCACCCCACAGCTGTGGGCCTGTTGTGCAATCTCAGTCTCCGGGCAGAATCTGCCCAGCCCAGTCTGGAATGACGATGTTCACGACCCATCTAGGCTCAGGGGTGACTCGGAGCCGCTTCCCTGCCAGGCAGTTTCCTAGCGTCGCTGGGCCTGGACTGGGTGGATTTTGTCATCACCCTGGCAACCCAGTACTGGGGCTCTTGCCAGAGAAGCAAAGGCGAAGAGAATCTTTGCTGCAGCTCAGGCAGGAGAGAGAGAGAGAGAGAGAGAGAGAGAGAGAGAGAGAGAGAGAGAGAGTGAGAGAGAGAAACATAACAGTGTCTGTCAGTTTGGTGCTTTCAGTTTTTAAAGGTGAAAAGGATAAGAAAGAGCAGAGCAGGTGGAGAGATGCTGAAGGCTGAACCAGGGGACAGTTTGGGGATAGAAAAGAGGAGGAGGAAGAGATTTGGGGACTGGTGGGGGAGGCAGCCAAGAGAAATGAAGGAAGAGGGGAAAACATAATACAAGCAAGACGTTTAGGAAACAAATGAAAAATATGGGGATGGAATTAATTAAGATTTCACGAGGGAAGGCACAATCCGAGCTGTAGCAAGAGGAATAATTGGCCCTGCCATTTGCTACCCTTCCTTACCGGGCTGTTTCCGTCAGAGTCACTGGCAGACAAACGAAGCAAGGTCCAGGAAAATGCACGTGAATAACTCACTGATCACGAACAGGATTTATTTGTTGCACACTCACTGAGCAGTCTTGCCATAATCTTTTAGATCCATTCATTTATGCAGCATCCCTGTCTATTTGTAGAGCTGTGTACAGGAGTCAATTCCATAATGGTGGCGACGATGGTGGTAATTAAATAGCCACATGGAGCTAGTGGTTACTGTATTGACAAACTCAGCTCTGGCACTCACGGGAGATGTCCAAGCCAGTGATATGAATTTGGGAGTTGGTAGTATTTTAGATGGTACTTAGAGAAGACTTAAGACCAGATGAGGGAGTGAGCGTTGATTGAGGAGAGAAGTTTGAGAACTGAGCATTGAGGGGCTGTGGTGTTTAGGGATTGGGGAGAAGAAAGGGAAACAGAACAAGAAATAAGGAAGGAACCTCAGAAGGGGAACAGGAAAAACTGGAGTGGGTGGTCTCCTAGAAGCCCAGGAAAGAAAGGAGGAGGCAGCGATCAGATCCACTGGGTCAGATTCAGCTGAGAAGTCAAGCAGGAGAATAAAAGAATGAACCCGTGGCACTTAGCAGGTGACAATGGGGGACTGCTGGGAATGTCATTGTTAGGAGTGGCACTCAATTCACAAGAGACAATGGGAAGATAAGACCTTAAGCAGGGACAGCTTACAGGAGCTTTACTGAGAAAGGCAGACAAAAAAATGAAGCAGACACTAGAGAAAGTAGAGTCCAAAGAGCTTTGTCTTTTTAAGATGTGTGAAATAACAGTTCACGTCTGTGCTGTTGGGAAAATTTCAGAGCGGGAGAGAAGGATGATACAGGAGAGAGAAGGGTTGTGGAGTGCTGTCCTTCAGCAGATGGAAGAAAATAGAATCTGGTGTGGCAGCAGGGAGGCCAGCCTCAGAGAGGAAGGACCATTGGCCCCTCATCCTCAGTGATGGGAGGGAAGGTAGGGAATCTGGGCCCGAGCACAGGGAGGTGGCAGAGGCCTGTGTGGAGTCTTCTCCTATTGCTCACATTATTTTCAGTGGCCTAAGGCCATTGAGAGTGAGTTGGGGGAGGACGCACTGGAGGTTTGAGGAGAAAAAAGAGAGGAGTGGGCTGGAAGAGTGGCAGAGAAAACAGAGTAAGGAAATGCTGAACAGTGGCCAGGCAGCATTGGGGCCCACTTGAGGTTGGTGGTCTTGTGTTTGAAGTGAGTGGCTTTGCCTTTCTCAAGCTGTGTTCAGCTCCAGTGGTGTAGCTGTAGACTCAGAAAAGTTAGCTTTTGCCAGTTTGGGGGCTTTGCCAGAAAGTACATCAAGAGGGGAGAGTGTGGCCGGGGAGCTGAGGGAGCATGTAAGGGATGGATGATGATATTGATGTGGATATTGATTCATATAATGATAGCCTCTGGGCTCTAAGGAGGGAAGTAAGGAGCTGACGAGGGTAGGGATGTGAAAAGATGGCAGAATCTGTGTTGGAGGTTGAAGTTGATTTTCAGGATTGTTGAGGGTGAGCGTGGTGGCTCACACTTATAATCCCAGCACTTTGGGAGGCCAAAGCAGGTGGATCACTTGAGCCCAAGAGTTTGAGACCAGTCTGGGCAACGTGGTGAAGACATCATCTTTACAAAAAATATAGACATTAACTGGGTGTGATCGTGTGTGCTTGTCATCCCAGCTACTCAGGAGATTGAGGTGGAAGGCTTGCTTGAGTCCCAGAGGCAGAAGTTACAGTGAGCTGAGATCACACCACTACTTTCCAGCTTGGGTGACAAAGTGAGACGCTGTCAAAAAAAAAAAAAGTTTTTGGAACCAGAGAACTGGAAAGGGGAATTGTTGAACTGTGGTGGCTTAATATTGAGGTCATGGAGGGGTGGAGTTATTGGCAATGACAAGGTCTGCCATATGATTGTCAAGATCATTGGCAGAGAGGGGTGAAGGAACTGAGGTGGTTACCAGAGTGCTGAATGGCTCTGTCATCTATGTGGAAATCACAGTCACCAAGAGATTGAGGAGCAACATATTCAAGGAACAAAGGGAAATGGCTGGGGCTGGGGTGTTCTGTAATGATCACAATGAGGACGGACCTGGGCTGGTTTGAGCTGAATGTATGGGCAGGTGGTTTGAGCTGATGGCATGTGATTGAGCTTCCTCAAAGCTGGGAAGGAAGTGTTGGAAAGAGAGAAGAAGGATCTTCCAGAAGAGGCTGCAAGGCACAAGTTGGACACATAGATGAGGGTGAGGAAGCAGCCAGGCCTTGAGAGGGGATTGGGGAAGCTGTGTCCTCGAGGGAGAGCTGGTTTCAGTCCTATTGAGAAGGTGAAAGGAACAATCAGAGAAGAGGTTGAAGACATTGGGGCTTCTGTTGATCACTGCCTATGAGTTCCAGCCTTTTGTTTGTTTGTTTATTTGTTTGTTTTGAGATAGGGTCTGTCATCCAGGCTGGAGTGCAGTGGTGCAATCCCAGCTCACTGCAGCCTACACCTCCCAGGGCTCAGATGATCCTCCCACCACACAGTCTCCCAAGTAGTTGGGACCACAGGTGCACACCACCATGCCCAGCTAATTTTTTTTTCATTCATATTTTGTAGAGATAGGGTTTCACTGCATTGCCCAGGCTGGTCTTGAACTCCTGGGCTCAAGCAACCCTCCCTTCTTGGCCTCCCAAATTGTTAGAGATGTGGGCCACTGTGCCCAGCTGAAAGCCTGCTTTTACTATTACTCCCCCACCCCTATCCAATGTGCTTCAAAAGATTGATTCATTTAAAATCCAAATCAGATCATGCCACTCCCCAGCTTAATACCCTTCCCTGGCTTTCCATCTTAGAACTCAGTCTGGGCTAGGCACTGTGGTTCACACCTGTAATCCCAGCACTTTGGGAGGCCAAGGCCGGCAGATCACCTGAGATCAGCCTGGCCAACATGGTGAAACCCCATCTCTGCTAAAAACGCAAAAGATAGCAGGACTTGGTGGCATGTGCCTGTAATCCCAGCTACTGGGGAGGCTGAGGCAGGAGAATTGCTTGAACGCAAGAGGCAGAGGTTGCAGTAAGCCAAGAGGACGCCACTGTACTCCAACCTGGGCGACAGAGCAAGACTCTATTAAAAAAAAAAAAAAAAAAAAAACATTGTTTGACTCCCTTGCTGCCAGGGCCTGCATACCAGGCTTTCTGTGATCTGGCCTTTCACCACTTCTCTGATCTCGTATGCCTTTTTCTCCTTTGTTTACTCAATCCCAGATATCCTGATATAAGACTATGCCAAACATGTTCCTGTCCCGGGGACTTTGCATGTGCTGTTTCCTCATTCTAGCACATTCTTCCCCACATCTTTTTATGGCAGACTCTTTCTTGACTGTCTGGTCCTAGAACACACGTCTGTCTCCACCTGCCTCCCCAGACTTCAGGAACCTCCCCTCACTCGCAGTGACATTACTGTTTTATTTCCTTCATGGCCCACCACTATTAGGAATGACCTTACTTCTCTACCTCTCCCTTTATTGAAATGTGCTAAAAAAACATAAGTTAAATAAATGAGATGGGCTAAGTGATTGGTAAACTCCACCAATAGCAAGTTGAGACTTGTGCCTTAGGTCTTATAAGACATTCTGGAGTCATGGAGTCATGGCCCTTCATAGCCACGTCAGATCACTTGGTTGCAAACTGGCTGGATTCTGGCCTACAATGAAATGAAACTAAGTCTCAGATCTGTGACTCATGTGAAGCTCCCAGTATCATTCAAAATTAGGAATTCTAAAGGGGGATGTTTCCTTATAATAGTAGAGCCTCCCACTGTGTTTATTTTAAATGTCACAGATTTACTTAGAAAAATAATTTCTTTACTCTGTTGAGAAGGTTGAGTTTTCTTGCATACGTGTCTAGAAAGTGGAATGGGTGGGGAGAGGCAAGAACACTGTCTTCATTACCTTTTGATCAGATGTTAAGAATAGGCATCCAGGCTGGGCACGGTGGCTCACACCTGTAATCCTAGCACTTTGGGAGGCCAAGGCAGGCAGATCACTTGAGATCTGATCACCTGAGATCAGGTGATCTCAGCCTGGCCAACATGGTGAAACCCCATCTCTACTAAAAATACAAAAATTAGCCAGGTGTGGTGGCACATGCCTGTAATCCCAGCTACTTAGGAGGCTGAGACAGGACAATCACTTGAACCCAGGAGGCGGAGGTTGAGGTGAGCCAAGGTCACACCACTACACTCCAGCCTGGGTGACAGAATGAGACTCCATCTCAAAAAAAGAAAAAGGCATCCAGTATAAGCAGATAAAAAGCAATTAGGTAAACAATGAGCTCTAAAAAGTCTAGTATTTTCTTGTTGGAACCTCAGATCCAATCTATGCTGAATTTGTCTGTGTGGGTGGAAAGTGAATTTTTGCAGGCTGAATATCTTGGGTTTGGAAGCAGTTTCTCAGTTTCTCCTATATTGCAAAGCATAGCACATGTGTTCAGTTACAGATTTCCACAAAACGGCAATCCTGAACCAATGAACGGATGAGGTTCCAAAAGTTCATTTGCAAGTTTGTTTGGCATGCAGAATGCATTTTCCTGTAGAAACAATGTCATAAATTAAGGATTGATTCCCAAGCCAGCCCATAAAATTCAAAATTATTAAATTTCAACAAATATTTATTGAACACCTAATGAGAGTCTAATGTGGAGCGTGAGATAGCTAGGTGGTACTGAGAAATTGGATGCCATTCTTGGCTTTAAGGAACTCGCATGCTAGCTGTGAAGGCAGACCTAGCAGTGGCCAACGTTCATTCATTCAATCCTACATCCAATCACAAATATTTTTTAAGCACAACAAATATGCTTAAAATTTGTTTTAAGCTGAGTGCTCAGGGTATAGTTCTGATCTATATAGAGCTTGCAATCTAATGAGGGATATAGATAATGTGTATCGTTAGATTTCTGCCCTAGTAATGCTGCATAACAAAGAACCCTCAAATCCTTCGTGGTCTAAAAGAGCAAACATTTATCTACATTTATGTTTCTTGCTCATGTGTCAGCCTGTCAGCTATGGGAAGAAGGGTGGGGTCAATGTCAAGCTGAAGGTTGAGTTCAGTTCTGTTTCCCATGTTTCTCATTCTGTACATGCTCTTCTTATGGTGGATAGAAGTGGCATGAGAGACCAAGCTAAACTATACAACATATTCTAAGCAGCAGCTCATATCATACTGACCAATATTCCATCGATAAAGCAAGCTGCACAGCCAAGCCCAACATCCATGGAGTAGGGAAATAGATTCTATCTACTCTAGTGGAAGATACTGCAAAGTGACCTGGCCAAAAGGTAGTGTGGGTGTGTCATTCTAGTACAGAATGGATTGAAGAATTGGGAACAATAATCCACTCTATCAATAAGTAATGGGGATGAATGAATAGAGTGTCATGAACGTTAGCATGGGGGAAATGCAGGACTTCATAGGGGCACATAAGAAATATCTAACCCAAACTTAACAGGTCGAGAAAGGTTTCCTGGAGGAAGGGGTATCTGATCTGAACCTGAAGTGTAGGAAGATATCAGCTAGGTAAAGATGAGGCAGGGAAAGCTGGTAGAGTGGTCAGTCTGTACAAAGGCCAGGAGATCTTGGCCTGAAACTCAGTATGGATGGGTGTTCAGGAGAGCTGAGGGGTGTTGGGAGATGAGGGTGGCAAGATAGGCAGAGGCAGATGAAGGTAAGGCTCTGCAAGCCACATGAAAGAATTTGAACATTGTTGGAAGAACCTTGGGGAGCCATTGCTGGGCTTTAATTAAAAGTGTGACCAGATCAGATGAGTGTTTTAGATCGAGAACTCTGGGGTGCAAGGTGGACTGGAGGGGGCTGAGAAAAGCTGGCAGATCAGTTAGCAGGTGGCTGTAAACCAGCAAGAGATGGAGGACTGAATTAGAGTGATAGCAGTGGTAAGGGAAGGAAGTGGGTGGATTAGAGAGCTATTTGGAAGGTAGAATTGACAGGCTTAGTGATTCCCCTTTGAGTCTGACACACTAACAATAGGGCCATAAAATGAAAAATAAAATCTCAAAGTGGCCACTGTTTTTCTGGAAGATTATTCTTTCTCCTTTGATCTCAGTCTTCATGAAGAAAACAAAGAAGTGGTACCCACACGTACTTCTGATTCTTCCTGTGTCCCGGCCATGGCGCTAGGCACTAGGTTAGACCCCAAAGATGGGTGCCTGAGTCAAATGTGGGAGGGCTTTTGAGAGGCACCAGTGCTGAGTGTCAAGAGTGTGCAGTGGGGTGAGTTATTGCACTGAAATTGGTGTTGAGATTATAGAGGAAGGAGTGCAGGCATCTGGATGGGGTGACCAGATGGAGAGAGGTGTCGGTTACTGAGTAGGGAGTGTAGAAAGAGTGGCTTGTTTGGGCTGTGTGGGAAATGCAGGGAGCTGACTTCCACACTGGCAACATGGGCAGGGAAGCCTATGAGGACAGAGGAAAGGTCCTGTATTAGTCTGTTTTTTCACTGCTATAATGAAATACCTGAGACTGGGTAATTTATAAAGAAAAGAGATTAGTTGGCTCACGGTTGTGCTGGCTGTACAGGAAGCACGATGCTGGCATCTGCTCAGCTTCTGGGGAGGCCTCAGGAAACTTACAATTATGGTGGAAGGTAAGGGGAAAGCAGGTCATGTCTTTTTTTTGTTTTTTTTTTTTTTTTAAGATGGAGTCTCACTCTGTTGCCCAGGTTGGAGTGCAAGGGTGCTATCTCAGCTCACTGCAACCTCTGCGTCCTGGGTTCAAATGATTCTCCTACCTCAGCCTCCTGAGTAGCTGAGATTACAGGTGCCTGCCACCATAACCGGCTAATTTTTGTATTTTTTAGTAGAGATGGGATTTTACTATGTTGGTCACGCTGGTCTCAAACTCCTGACCGTATGATCTTCCCACCTCAGCCTACCAAAGTGCTAGGATTACAGGCATGAGCCACTGCACCTGGCCTGGGCAAGTCTTACATGGCTGGAGTAGAAGGAAAGGGGGTGGGGGAGGTGTCACATACTTTTAAACAACCAGATCTCAAGAGAACTCAGTCACTGTCACAAAAATAGCACTGAGGAGACGGTGCTAAACCATTCGTGAAGGGTCCACCCACATAATCCAATCACCTTCCAGCAGGCCCCACCTCCAACACTGAGGATTCAAATTGAACATGAGATTTGGTGGGGACATAGATCCAAACCATATCAGGTCCCAAATGCATTTTGCTTTGGATGAAATCTGGGCTTTGTGCAACCTGCCATTTTCTTACCTCTGCCACTTCTCCTCTTCTATAATGTGGCCAGGTATGGTAAATATGCTGGGATTACAGGCAGTTTGGTAGGCTGAGGTAGGTGGACCACTTGAGGCCAGGAGTTTAAGACCAGTCTGGGCAACATGGTGAAACCATCTCTACAAAAAATACAAAAATTAGCTGGGAGTGGTGGCACACGCCTGTGTCTCCCCAGCTACTCTGGTGGCTGAGGTAGGAGGATCATTTGAACACAGGAGGTCGAGGCTGCAGTGAGCCATGATTGTACTACTGTGCTCCAGCCTGGGTGACAGAACGAGACCTTGTCTCAAAAATAATGATAATAATAATAGTACCTCCCTCAGAGGTTTGCTGAGAGGATTAAATCACATAAGATACGCCATTGTAGGCCCAGTGCCTGGCTCCTGGTACGCAATGAAGTCATGTCAGCTGTTATTTGTGGAAGCTCAGGGAGGGAGTCAATTCTTGTCCCTGAGGTTGAGAAAGGCTTCAACAAGGAGGTGGGTGACTTTAAAACTGGGCCTTGAAGCCTGACTAGGCCCTTACCAGAGGAAGAGCAGTCAGGAGGCATTTCAGGCAGAAGAACCTGCACAGTAAGAGGTCTGTGGAGAGACTGGCAGATGGAGTTCTGTGCACTGGATCTAGAAGCAAGGAAGTGGGCAGAGGTGCTAGGTGGGTTCTCAGCGTGGACCTTACTAGTGGGTGCTAGGAACTAATGACAGGGTTTAAGCAGAGGCCTGCCACTGCCATATTTGTGTTTTAACAGCATTATCTCACTGGCAGTGTGGACGATGAACCACGATAAGCCAAGCATTGGCTCTCCCAGCCTCTCACTCCACCCGTCCTGCGTGGCCTTCCTCTGGTGTGTTTTGTAAAGAGTAGGTTTGTATCATATCTCCTCCTGAGTCATCTACTTGGTGGCTGTTTCTCCGATTTCATGTACCTCCCCTGGGAGAGGTGATGCATCTCCCGATGCCTCCGTGGGGCTCCACCTTCTCTGGTTTTAGTCCCATGATGGAATCAGGGCTGGGCCCTCTTTAAAAAATGGACCCTGTGGGAAAGACCACACTTGCATTACCCCTCCCTTCCCTTCATGCTCTGCCCCACACGAGGTATGCACAGGTGGAGGCAAAGCCCCCAGGCCTGCTGCTCATAAGGTATCTGTATGTGCCTCTCAATTATCTGTACAAATTTAACATTTACTCCATATTTTCTTACATGTTTCCTCCATGTTGACAGTTGGAAGACCTTCAAGCAGCCCCTCGTGGCTGTTTTTAGGTCTTCAGCTGCTGTTAGGCCGTTCCACGCATGCGACTGTGAAAGAGATCATTTCTCACTGGACCTAACAGCAGGGCCCTGTGGTCAGTCTTCCTATCAGACTTTCTGAAGGGTTGGGAGTAACAGAAGGGTATTTTTAACACATGAGAGAAAACTACCACCTGAATGCTAAACATATTTGTCCCCAACACCCCAGAGTAGCAAACGAAAAGAATGACATGAGTTGCTTGTGGACACATCCCAGCTCCTTTTCTTCATCCTGCTCTCCTGTCTTGAAGTTTCTTCTCCAAGTCACACTCCTTCCTCAAGCCCCCCAGGCCTATCATTAACCCTAAGGGGACCCTCCCCACCTTCGTGATAACTGTTATTGGTCTGAAACTTGACTGGTGTGATCCATTATGCACAGTAACTTATGGCCGTATTCTTCAGTAGCCTGAGTTAGTCTATTCACCACCATGAAAGGTGAGCTACATACAGCAGAGAGGGCCTGATGTGGATTAGATGTTTGTTCTCCTCCAAATATCATGTTGAATTGTGACCTGCAGTACTGGAGGTGGGCCTGCTGGGAGGGGTCGGGTCACGGGGGTGGATCCCTCATGAATGGCTTGGTGCTGTCCTCACAATAGTGAGTAAGTTCTCGCTCTGAGTTCACAGGAGATCTGGCTGTTTAAGAGAGTGTGACACTTCCCGCCTCACATTCTGGCTCTCGCTTTTGCCATATGACACAGCTGTTCCCCCTTCGCTTCCACCATGAATGGAAGCTTCCTGAGGCCCTCCCCAAGAGCAGACACTGCCCCTGCTTCCTGTACAGGCTAACTCATGAGCCAATTAAACCCCTTTTCTTTATTTATTTTTTATTTTTTTTATTTTTTTTTTAATTTTTCCCATTTACTTATTTTATTGCATTTTAGGTTTTGGGGTACATGTGAAGAACATGCAAAATTGTTGCATAGGAACACACATGGCAGTGTGATTTGCTGCCTTCTTCCCCATCACCTACATCTGACATTTCTCCCCTTGCTATCTCTCCCCAGCTTCACAAAAGAAGACATAAGTGAGGCCAACAAACATATGAAAAAATGCTCATCATCACTGGTCATCAGAGAAATGCAAATCGAAACTACATTGAGATACCATCTCACGCCAGTTAGAATGGCGATCATTAAAAAATCTGGAGACAACAGATGCTGGAGAGGATGTGGAGAAATAGGAACACTTTTACACTGTTGGTGGGAGTGTAAATTAGTGCAACCATTGTGGAAGACAGTGTGGCGATTCCTCAAGGACATAGAAATAGAAATTCCATTTGACCCAGCAATCTCATTACTGGGTATATATCCAAAGGATTACAAATCGTTCTACTATAAGGACACGTGCACACGAATGTTCATTGCAGCACTGTTTACAATAGCAAAGACCTGGAACCAACCCAAATGCCCATCGACGATAGACTGGATAGGGAAAATGTGGCACATATACACCATGGAATATTATGCAGCCATAAAAAACGATGAGTTTGTGTCCTTTGTAGGGACATGGATGAACCTGGAAACCATCATTCTCAGCAAACTGACAGAAGAGCAGAAGATCAAACACTGCATGTTCTCACTCATAGGCGGGTGTTGAACAATGAGAACACATGGACACAGGGAGGGGAGCACTACACACTGGGGTCAGTTGTGGGGAAATAGGGGAGGGAGGGTGGGGGGTGGGAAGCTGGGGAGAGATAGCAAGGGGAGAAATGTCAGATGTAGGTGATGGGGAAGAAGGCAGCAAATCACACTGCCATGTGTGTTCCTATGCAACAATTTTGCATTTTCTTCACATGTACCCCAAAACCCAGTCTCAGGGATTTTTTTGTAGCTATGCAAAAAATGGACAACACAGGGCCATGGAAGGCTGTGCAGTAGAAAAGTCCACTTGTCCATGACTGCTCCTCATTCAGAAGACAGCTGCAGTGCCCCTTCCACAGGAAGCCTGCCTCGAGTCCAGGCCTGGCCAGGAGACAGTGTGCATGGATGCAGGAGAATATGCTTATCATACACCAGACGCCACCTTGCCTGTCCTGTGCCATGTTTCGTTTAGTCCTCCTGGTACCCCATGAAGTAAGCACCATTACAGTCCCCATGTTATAGAGAAGAGAACAGCCTTAGCTAGTGTGCAGTTTCCCACAGCTG